GAATTTCTCGTCGATACCAGCATCTAGCTTGTTCAAGTTTGTTAAGACTCGGGATAAGTCACATACGGGCTTTCCAAATTCGTCGTATTGGAAGAATATGTAGTCCCTGAATAACTTGATGATGTACTTGTTTCCGTTTTCTTGCCAATTAGGGTCATTTTCGTACTCGGGTCTATCTATGATGAAGTTTAGCTTTGTTATTAATCTGAAAACCCTGGCGTTTTCTAATTCAGTGGAGAGCTGCGATTCCATGAAATCTTGCAGGTCTTGCAAGTTACTGCAAAAGTTCAAGATTTTGCGGGATAGATGATTCCTGTTGAATTCGTGTAAATCGGATGTATTTGTGTTCAAGTCTGAAAGAAGGTTAATAAATTCACCACTAAAGTTGACGGTGTTCGATGTCTTCAAGAGATTTATTAAGTCCTTAGGTTCATTATTTCTAACATTGTTAGGCAAACATAATGCTGCCAAGTCTAATATTAATTTTCCGAACTTCTTAATATCTTCTTGTTGTAATTCATGTCTAAAGGTCTCCAATCCTTTTTGATTGATTTGTTCTTCGTCATCTTCGTAGTTCAAGATGTCACTTATACCAACACCGCCCAATCTGATTCTATTTTTATTTGTGACAAGAATCTTAGAAAGATCCAATGCCGATCTTGCAGCCAAGTTATTTTCGTGAATATTTATTAATGCATTTGTAATTTCGATCACATAATTCCACAAAAGTTCTTCTGTAATTGGTTCTAATTTACCTCCTAATCTTCTATTGATATGTTGTTCTTGTAATGTGTTAGAGTTAGGAAAGTAATCATAGGTGACTATTAAGGTGCTGTAAGAGCCACCAAATGCCATGCTTGTAAATGCCTCCTGTAACTGAATAATATTTGCACATTTAACAGACTTCCATTTCTTAATATTTTTGAAAGGTAATTCATTAGTGATTCGTAAGACTGATTGTATATCGATTTTCCTCAATGCATATGGGTTACCATCCACATTAGAAAACACTTTGTATACAAAACTCGGAAGACCATATACTTTCGAAATATTTTCAAACGATGTATCAATCGGGACCAACGAATGATATATATTTACATGATCAGGTAAGTTGGACCTTGGTAACGTCTGCAAAGTAGCTTCGTTCCTTTTTAATAACGTTTCCCTCAAGTCGTTTGGAATAAACATCAGATTTACATTAATTTCATGTGGTGGTAACGGTATGGTCAATCTTGGAGGTGGCGCTGGTGCATACAAATGATATTGTAACGGATACGACGAAGCAGGCTGTTGGAAAAACACGTCTGCTGAGTTTGGTGCTGCAACTGCTGATGTCGGCTGTGGTGTTCCAGAATTTCCTGGTAAATACGGATTGTGCTGTATATTTCCATTAGCTTTGGCCCCAGGAGCAGTGACGGATTGTGCCATAACAGGAGACGGTGCCGAAATTTGGTCATTTGTCGAGATGTATGGATTAGAAGGCATGAATGATGGTGTTGACGCATTAAATTTCTTACTAGGAGTGGCCGATTCGTTCATTTCTGGTTCGTTTATACCACCTGAATCAGTATTACTCATTCCTCCAGATGGTACGAACACCGGTATTTCCTTTAAGTTTGGTGATAAATTCGAAAATTTATTCGTTAGATTCGGAACATTAGACGGCTGAAACGACGGCGTATTAAAATTAAACTTCTTTTTCATTTCTGCATTGGTATTACCTGAACTGTTTGTAGTTGCGTTACTTCCTTGAGACCCCGGTACACTTGAATTGGGTTTCACCGTATGACTAAAAGCACACCCTTTATTTTCATATTTACAGTACCCATATATTAGAACATTTTTGCAGAACGTTTCCTTCGCTGAATCTAGATTTATATTCATGTCTTCCCTTAATTAACTGTAGAAGCCCATATACGATGTATTCTATGTTATGGTAAACTGATAGAAATTCTAAACGTCGAATTGCGACACGTGAGAAATGCTATAAGCAATTCCTTAAACGACTAGTATATGGTACTTTTTCGAAGTATAGCTAAACAATTACAAATGACACACGTAGCTATCTTGACAGGAGCCTCTAGAGGTAAGTGTTTTATGCGGTAGTATTTTACGAATTGAGTCTTTACTAACAATATTCAGGGATCGGTAGTTCCATCGCTGAGATTTATCTTAAGAAAGATTCTAGCAACAAATTGGTTGCAGTCTCTAGATCGGAAAAGGAATTGAAGAGTTTATCAGCTGAATATGGATCAGAAAGGGTTCAAATTGTGATTGGGGATGTGTCAAAGCCAGAAACTAGCACCAAGGCATTGAAGTTGGCAATTGAAAAATTCGGCCAAGTCAACTCCATTATAGCCAATGCTGGTGTCTTGGATCCAGTCGATCAAGTGGCAAATGCCGATGTTAAGGGATGGAGAGAATTGTTTGATATCAACTTTTTTGCAGTTGTTGATTTGGTTCAACAGAGTATTCCCGAATTACGGAAAGCAAAAGGTAACATTGTAGCTGTTCTGTCGGGTGCTTCAACTACAGCATACAACGGATGGGGAGCTTATGGTGCCTCCAAGGCTGCTTTGAATCATTTTATCTTATCTGTGGCAACAGAAGAAGCCGACATCAATGCCATTTCTGTTGCACCAGGTGTGGTAGACACAAATATGCAAAATGATATTAGAAACAAGTTTGGGAAGAACATGACTAAAGACTCTTTAAAGAAATTCGTTGATTTGCACAAGAACAATGAATTATTACCACCTGAAGTCCCTGCCACTTGTTATGTTAATCTTGCATTGAACGGATGGGACAAGGCTCTAGATGGAAAATATTTAAGAATCAATGATGATGCCTTGAAACCATACTTGCAGTAATATTATTTTATATTATAATTAGCACCTAGTCTTATTTGTCTTTACTAAAATTGTAGCTACTAATTTATTGTTTATTGATGTTCTATTCCTGAAAAATAAATATTCGAGCGAATCGATAATTTTTTTTAATCTAAACATTTTTCTTCTTCGGATAACGTCCTTTTGGATTTCACCTAAGAAAACTTGAAGATAGGAAACGGATACTCATCATGTTGCGATTATTAAGAAGCCCAGTTTCATCCAAACAACTTAGTGGGTCGTTTGTCAAGCGTGCCTTTATACAGAATGCTAAGGTTCAATTCAGATCTTACTCAAACACTCCTCCTCCACCTCCTCCTAATGCCAAAGGTGGGAATGGTAAAATTTTATTAGCTGTCGGTGCTTTGGCTATTGGTTCTACCTTCCTTTCTATGAATTACAATAAAGAATCCCCAAAATCTGCCATTGATACCCCAATCTCGGGTCCAACATTCTCTAAGGGAAAGATTTCTGTGATTTTTGTTCTTGGTGGTCCAGGTTCTGGTAAAGGTACTCAGTGTGCTAAATTAGTTAAAGACCATGGATTTATTCATTTATCGGCTGGTGATTTATTAAGAGCTGAACAACATAGAAAGGGTTCTAAGCACGGTGAATTGATTGACAAGTGCATCAGAGAAGGTACAATTGTTCCACAAGAAGTGACACTTGCTTTGTTAGAACAAGCTATTAAGGAAAATTATGCAAACGGTTCTACAAAGTACTTAATTGACGGATTCCCTAGAAAGATGGATCAAGCATTATCTTTTGAAGAAGATATTGCTGAATCCTCTTTCACCTTATTCTTCGAATGTCCTGAACTGGTTATGTTAGAAAGACTCTTGGAAAGAGGAAAGACCAGTGGAAGAACTGATGACAATATCGAAAGTATTAAGAAGAGATTTACTACATTCCTTCAAACATCCATGCCTGTGGTCGACCACTTCGAGAAACAAGGTAAAGTTGTTAAATTAAATTGTAACCAGCCTGTGGATGAGGTCTACAACCAAGTTAAGGACGCTTTAAAGTCGAGAAATGTCTAAGAACCCCTCTATTGCTATCCTGATAGCATACAATAGGCCATTCTTGACGAAATGATAATTCACGTGACTGATGGAGTTTTTCTAAATTATTAATACCAAGTATAGAGAAACAATACGTTTAGTTTGTATTTTTATAGAAGTATCGTTACGTATATAGAATGTCAGATACTGAAACCGGATTACCAGTGAACTGGGCCATTCGTGTATCCCGTACGCATAATAAAGAATATTATTTAAATCAAGCAACTAAAGAATCATCTTGGGAACCACCTTTTGGAACCGATAACGACAAATTACTGAAATACATAGCTAAGTTCAAAGCCAACGGAAATAAGCCAGTTATTCCTGAGGATGGTAAGATTCGTGCATCGCATCTTTTAGTGAAGAGTAATCAATCGAGAAGACCAAAATCATGGAAATATCCAGATGGAATAACCAGAACCAGAGACGAAGCTATCGTATTAATGAAGCAATACCAGCAAAAAATATTGAGCGGAGAAATCAAATTAGAAGATTTGGTTTCCACTGAAAGTGACTGCTCTTCTCATGCTCAGGGTGGTGACTTAGGATTTTTTGGTAAGGGTCAAATGCAGCCTCCCTTTGAAGAAGCTGCGTTCGGATTAAATGTTGGTGAGATCAGTGACCTTGTTGAAAGTGATAGTGGAATTCATTTGATACAAAGAACTGCTTGATCTGCCTAATTTATGTCTAAAAGTTTACAATTATATAGGGTGTTTTATCGTCATATAGCTATTTATTAAGACTTCACGTATTATTTCGTTGCACAAATAAGCTAACGCCAATGATTAATTCCTTAAATTCAATCAACATTACATTACATTACAATATCTGTAATATCGTACTAGGTATCTAATCTTGTATACTGTAGAAGGTTACGAAATTGTCCGGAGACAGCTTGCTGAAAAGTGAAAATTTACAAACACTAATTATTTTTTAATTGTAAAGAACAAACATATAGATGTGCAGATATATTCTAGCTACTAGTAAGACTCAATGGAGTCTGCTTAGAGCTTTCAATAAACCCAATCCTAACTATTGGAACCGTTTCTACCAACAAAATCGTCAGATTTCGTTTTCACACGCACCAAATAAAGTCAAGAGATATTTGCCATCAATTACTGGTCAGACCAATTTATTTACATCAATTGCACTTAGGTTTAAACGAAATCATCATAGTCAACTGTCTCTAATTACAAGTATGTGCAGAAATAATAGTGAGTCTACTTCATCTCAAGTTGTTCCTCAAGATAGAGAGGTTTTGCCAACAAACGTGAAACCCCTTCATTACGATTTGACATTGGAACCTAATTTTGAAACTTTCAAATTTGACGGACAAGTCGTAATAGATTTACACGTTAATGAAAAATCAGACTATGTTACATTGAATTGTTTAGAAATTGATATTCAGGAAGCAAAAATTAATGATGTTGAAACTAAGAGTATTGAATTTAATGAAGATCAGCAATCTGTTACTTTCAAATTTGCAGACGAATTGACTACTGGTGCTGATGCACATTTAAGTATCAAGTTCACTGGTGAATTGAATGATAAGATGGCTGGATTCTATAGATCTTCGTATCAAGAGGATGGCAAGACAAAGTATTTAGCCACTACCCAAATGGAGCCTACAGATTGTCGCCGTGCATTCCCTTGTTTCGATGAACCTGCTTTAAAAGCTAAATTTGATATTAAGTTGATTGCTCATAAGGATTTGGTTTGTTTATCTAATATGGATGAAAAGGAAACAAGCTTATTAGGAAATGACAAAAAGAAAGTTGCCTTCAACACAACTCCTTTAATGTCGACTTACTTGGTTGCATTCATTGTGGGTGATTTGAAATACGTCGAAACATCTGACTATAGAGTTCCAATTAAGGTTTATGCCACCCCAGGATCAGAACATTTAGGTGCTTATTCTGCTGGAATTGCTGCTAAAACTTTGAAATTCTTCGAAGAAAAGTTTGATATTCCATACCCATTACCAAAATGTGACATGGTAGCTATCCATGATTTTTCTGCTGGTGCCATGGAAAATTTTGGTTTGATCACCTATAGAACGGCTGATTTATTATTAGACCCAAGCAACACGAATATCAATACAAAACAAAGGGTCACAGAAGTGGTCATGCATGAATTGGCGCATCAATGGTTTGGTAACCTTGTTACCATGGACTTTTGGGATGGTTTGTGGTTAAATGAAGGTTTTGCAACTTGGATGTCATGGTATGCGTGTGATGCATTGTACCCAGATTGGAAAGTTTGGGAATCATACGTCTCGGATTCCTTACAGCATGCTTTAAGTTTGGATGCTTTGAGAGCCTCTCATCCAATTGAAGTACCAGTCAAAAGAGCAGATGAGATTAATCAAATTTTCGATGCAATCTCTTACTCAAAAGGTTCGTCGCTCTTGAAAATGATTTCCAGGTGGTTAGGTGAAGATATATTTATTAAAGGTGTCTCTAATTACTTGAAAAAGCACAAATGGGGAAATACTAAAACTTCTGATTTATGGGAAGCTTTAAGTGAAGTTAGTGGTAAAGATGTTATAAAAGTTATGAATATCTGGACGAAAAATATCGGGTACCCTATCGTTTCGGTAAAAGAATCTGGTAACGAAATCCTGGTCACTCAAAACCGTTTCTTAGCCACTGGTGATGTCAAGCCTGAGGAAGATAAAATTTTGTATCCTGTTTTCTTAGGATTGAAGACCTCTAATGGTCTTGATGAATCATTAGTTTTAGATGAAAGAACGAAGACATTGCAGCTTCCTACATCCGATGATTTTTTTAAATTGAATGGTGATCAAGCTGGTATCTACCGTACAGCCTATGAATCTTCACGTTGGACTAAATTAGGAAAATCGGGTGTTGATGGCAAATTATCGGTTGAAGATCGTGTTGGTTTAGTAGCTGATGCGGGCTCATTAGCTTCTTCTGGTTTTGTTTCAACTACTGATTTCTTGAATTTAGTTAAATCTTGGTCTAATGAATCGAATTATGTTGTTTGGGACGAGATCTTGACTAGAATTGGTACAATTAAAGCAGCATTTATTTTTGAACCTGAAGAAATTAAAGATGCTTTAAATACATTCACTATTGATTTAATTGGTGATAAATTGAAGTCTGTTGGTTGGGATTTCAGCGATAATGATTCATTTGCTGACCAACAATTGAAATCGTCTTTATTTGCTTCTGCTGCAAATGCAGGTCAAGAAGAAACAGTTAAATATGCTAAAGATTCTTTTAAGAAATTCGTTGATGGTGATAAGAAAGCTATCCACCCTAACTTAAGAACGTCCGTCTTCAACACCGTTGCTAAGAATGGTAATTTGGAAACCTTTGATCAATTATTCAATATCTATAAGAACCCTCAATCTATTGAAGAGAAGATTTCGGCATTGAGATCTCTTGGTAGATTTACCGACGAAGCTATCTTAGATAAAGTTACTGGATTGTTGTTAAAGACTGATATTGTTAAAGCTCAAGATATTTACATCCCAATGCAAGGCTTAAGATCACACAGATTAGGTATTGAAAAATTATGGGACTGGTTAACAAAGAATTGGGATGAAGTCTACAAGTTATTGCCTCCGGGATTGTCTATGTTAGGTTCAGTTGTGACTCTTGCTTCATGTGGATTTACTAAAAAGGAGCAAAAGGATAACGTTGAAACGTTTTTCAAGTCTAAGAACACCAAAGGGTTTGATCAAGGTTTAGCTCAATCCATAGATATGATTACTGCTAAGGGGGCTTGGGCTAGTCGTGATTCTGATGCTATTACAGAATGGTTATCTTCTAATGGTTATTCGAAATAACTAGCCGTGACTCAAAAAAGTAAATTGTAATTAATTTACGATTTATTAAGCTTGTCTTATGATGTATACGTCTACATTAAGAATATAAATATAAGGCTAAATATATATCTCTCTATGAATAAATGATACATGGAAATTTTTTGTAGCAAGTATATTGTCTTCAAAAGGATTGTTCTTCAATCTTCCTTTATCATCGACTTCGATTAATATTTCAGAAGAGAATTCAAATCCACATTTGGAAGAATAATATTCAACCAATTTATGTTCACGAATAACTTCAGCGTAAAGAATTACCTTCTTCGTTGTCGTATTTAAGAGACCATGTGAAGACATATAACTAGATTCTAGTAAATATTTATTAATCATTGCATCAAGGATCTGGGGTGCAGTATTCCTCATGAATGATGTAAAACAAGTGAGTAAAAGTTCACTTGTTTCACAAGCATTCGGCTCCTCTTTATTACAGGACTTCAAACCGGCCGTCCCTAATACTCGTTTCAAAGTTCTGTCATCTAGAACATAGTCAGTACCCACTTCCTCAATTTCGAGCTCCGAAGTGTTATCAAACCTAAACAAATCATAATATTTCTCGGGAATATCACAAGCGTAACTCTCCTCTAAATTGCGATTGGGAATGTTGAAGTCCCTATCATAATTGTCCTCTAAACGTATTTTATCAAACAGGCTCTCAGGACCTAGTAATATAAAAAAACAAAACCTTTTATTATTATCTATGGAAAAGTCCTCTAAAAACGTATTAGGATCTTTAATCCTTTGAGTTCTTATAATGTCAAACTTATATCGAGCTTTGCTGTATGACTTATTTATAAGTTTGGTTAACTTTTCGAAATCAGGAAACTCCGAATATGGTTTGAAGAACCAATCATTCCTCAATACTAGTAACTTGAAAGACATTTTGTTCAACTGATTCAAATCGGAAACCTCTTTATTGATAGATTTCGATGAAAAATCGAGAGTTCATGTTGCATAAGTCCTGTATGAAACATTACTTAGATTGAATAGATATAGTATCAGACTACATGAAAATGACATATTACTCCAAATTGAACAGATATAAATTAAAAGCTCTATATATTTAAATATTATGACAAGTGGCTTATTTTTGATTTGTTATAGTAGAAGGATCGTTATTTCAAGGTATGGTACTGTCAACATCCATAAATCTTAAAATTAACATGAATTGATCTTCTTCGTGTGCAAATGCTTGTCTAAATTTTACAACATGCTTCCATCTCTTTGAATTCATTGTATCATGCATCTTTCTCAAACGATCCCATAGGTGGAAACCACCGATGCTCTTTTCTATTTCAGAGACAGACAATTCTATATTATACTTGCTAAAAAAGGTAGGAATACGACTCAGACGTTGCTGATACGCTGCCCAGATTAACACATGTCCGATATAAGCCAACACTGAGTAATCAAAGTTATTTTGATGAATATTTCGAGTAGAAGGAGTTAACTTGGTGTGTGTTTGTTCCAAGGTTAATTCATCGTAATGACCGAACCACTCAAGTACATGTGGACATGACTGAACGGTCTTCTTAAACCCAGACGATTCGTATAACGCAACATTCATGCACAATTTAAAAAATATTGGCTTCTTTTCTTCATCACTAAATAGATCATGCGAATACTTTATAACAAATTTTAATACATGATGTGCAAACTTCGAAATCGAAGACGACGAAACAATTGTTTTGATTTTAACATCTGATAAAGAAAGAGATAAAATTTGTTGATGTGAAAGACCGATGATCGTTTTTATACACTGTGCGGCAGGTAAAGAATCAGAATATTTCTTATTTGTATTAGTTTTCTTTGTTGATTTAAGTGTGACATCGAACAGGCCAGGTTTCTCTTCCAGCTCTTTAGGCGCTACTTCAGACAGTCTCTCGCGATGCAATTTATCTCTTTGCTTACGGGTTAGATTTGCTTCTTCATCATAAATAGAATATTCTTGGTCGACAACTTTCTGATTTTTTAATTCATCAAGCGTGACCAACTCGTCATTCTTGCTAACTAATACCGTTGAATCATAAGAAATCTCCTTACTTGAAATTTCGTCCCCAGCCCTCTTCTTCTTTTTGCGATCTTTCCTCTTAGATTTCTTGAGAATTTTATTCAAAGCTGCATCTATTTCTTGTTCTTCTTGTTCTTCTTCTTTATCCAATGCTTCAGCGATCTCTTCTTCGGTTAATTCAATTGTTTCAGGCCCATCATATTCCTTTGGTTCTATTTCTCCTATGTTTTTGGTACCATTGGATTTGGGCTTTTCCTTCTTGTCTTTCTTATCTTTCCTTGGCTTTCTTTGCATTTTCTGATTTGACGAACCATGCAAGGATATTTTCTCAATCTTATCTTTCAGTGACTCTGAGTGTCCAGGCATATCATTATTAGAATCTTGCTGAACAGAAGTATCGCTAGTAGATTCTTGCAGTTGCGCTTTTCTTAATTTCCGTCTCTGATCCTTTCTCTGTCTCTTTTCTTTACGTCTCTGCTTTATTTCTTCAGATTCAGAAATATGGTTTTCTTTCTCATCTGGAATATCTTCTATAGCTTGTTGCTCTGATTTTTCAATATCCAAATCAGGTTTGGTTTTAGCTTTGGCTTTGGTTTTGGTTTTCTTCTTCTTCGCTTTGATTATCTCAGTCGGTATTTCATTTTCGCTTTCCGAAGAAAATTTTATATCGTTCATATCTTTGGTAATATCATTTAACGTTATCTTGAATTTATTAGCTCTTCGGCCTCTCAGCACTGGTATATCGTTCAAGATTTGCTCTTCATAAATAGCCAATTCAGTCAGCACAAGCTCCTTAGAATCTAAATCACACGTTGATTTGCTATCTACAGACTCGAGTAGATAATCTAGATCATTTTCAAATTGTTTATCAGGATTACCATTTTGTAATAGGTCATAATCATAATCTGCAACTTTCCTAGATTCATTACTAAGTATTTCCCCAGATAAATCTAATTTACCTTGAGGTACTTTGGACTTAGTCTTCCTGCCCATTATGTCTTATGATGATAGCGATGTAACGCTAGTATGCTCGTGGTTGACTAAATGTAAAAACGAGCCTCGGAAAAACAGTTGATGAGATTTAGTATAAACGCGACGTGGGGACTTTAAAATTGCACTACAATATCAAATTTAAATATCAAATACATAAATTTATTCAAATATAAAATCTTTTGTTTTGTTAAAATGTATATAAAAATTGAAAACAATGCCTAAACGTTTCATCTTAAGAGCATTCGTATCATCTAAGAATTATTATCATCTTAAACAATAATAAAACTACAAATCATTAGGATTCATAAACTTAGAAAGAAGCAACGAAAGATTCAGTAGTGGCTCTCAACTTTTCTAAGAGTTCCTTAGATAATTCACCCTTATCACGGATAGCTGCTAAGATTTCTGGTTCATTAGACTTTAAGTGAGATGCGAAAGATTCTTCGAATTCAGCTAATCTGTCTAAGGCGACGTCATCTAAGAAACCGTTAACACCAGCATAAATTAATGGAACTTGTTCTTCAGCAGCTAATGGAGAAGCTTGCTTTTGTTTTAATATGTTGGTTAATCTTTCACCTCTGTTTAAGGTTTGCTTAGTAGAAGCATCTAAATCAGAACCGAATTGAGCGAATGCAGCAACTTCTCTGTATTGAGCCAAGTACAATTTTAATGAACCAGCAACTTGTTTCATAGCTTTAACTTGAGCAGCGGAACCAACACGGGAAACAGATAAACCGACATTAATAGCTGGTCTGATACCCTTGTAGAATAATTCAGCTTCCAAGAAAATTTGACCATCGGTAATGGAAATAACGTTAGTTGGAATATAAGCAGAGACATCACCACCTTGGGTTTCAATGATTGGTAAAGCGGTTAAAGAACCACCACCGTTAGCTTCAGACATCTTAGCAGCTCTTTCCAATAATCTGGAATGTAAGTAGAAAACATCACCTGGGTAAGCTTCACGACCTGGAGGACGTCTTAATAATAAGGATAATTGACGGTAAGCAACGGCTTGTTTAGATAAATCATCGTAAGCAATCAAAGCGTGTCTACCGTTGTCTCTGAACCATTCACCAATAGCACAGGCAGTGAAAGGAGCCAAGAATTGTAATGGAGCGGCTTCAGAAGCAGTAGCGGCAACAACGATGGAGTATTTCAAAGCATCGTTTTGTTCTAAGGTTTGAACTAATTGAGCAACAGTGGATCTCTTTTGACCAATAGCAACGTAAACACAGTATAACTTCTTAGATTCATCCTTACCGTCGTTCCATCTCTTTTGGTTTAAGATGGTATCTAAGGCAACAGTGGTCTTACCAGTTTGACGATCACCAATAATCAATTCTCTTTGACCTCTACCGACTGGGACTAAAGCATCAACAGACTTTAAACCAGTTTGCATTGGTTCGAAAACAGAAGTTCTTGGTAAAATACCTGGAGCCTTAACTTCGGCCATAGAAGTGGAAGAAGCGTTTAATGGTCCCTTACCATCAATTGGGTTACCTAAACCGTCGACAACACGACCTAATAATTCAGGACCGGTTGGAACTTCGACAATCTTACCAGTTCTCTTGACGGTTTCACCTTCCTTGACAGCTCTGTCAGAACCGAACAAGACAATACCGACTTGACCGGCTTCCAAGTTCAAGGCCATACCCTTAACACCGGAGGTGAATTCAACTAATTCAGAGGCTTGACAGTTGTTTAAACCGAAAACACGGGCAATACCATCACTATAATTGTTAGTATAAGAGTCTATAAGTGTATAGATGGTTGGTTAAAGCGTGGTGGGATTTTTTCACTCGCTGGAAATTTCTTAAATTCTAATTGGTCGGGTGCCGATTCAAACCCGCGACTGGCCCACCACCCCATTAACCACCATCAATCAGTGTTCAATGTATACATACCCAACAGACAAAACTCTACCGGTTTCGTTTAAGTTGGCTTCGTCAGAAACACCTCTGATTCTTTCTTCTAAGATAGAAGAAACTTCAGTTGGTGCAGCCTTAGTAGAAGCATAACATCTAGCGGCTAATTGAGTTGGACGAGCCTATTTTCTGTTAGTAAATCTTCATAGCTATGATTCGGTGTCTCTTCTCTCCTAACACCATCCGTTCTAGCACAATTGATTGATTGTGTCCATTTTTCACCCCAATCACTAACTTTTCACCTTTTCCCCGGCGGCTAATTTCAATTCATTATTTATCCTCCATCCGTCATCATTCCACCTTTATATCTCTCCCTAGGCCCCCCATGCCCTTCAATTCTCTTTCCTCTTCTTCCTAGCCCTCAATCAATCAATTCTCCCGTCGACGGATATTTCAACAATTTTATACATACGACACGTAAGTTTCTAGAAACGGCAGCAACTGAACGAGCAGCACTACGTAAAACAGGACGAGCTGACAACATTATCTACTTTGAAATTAAAGAAATAAAATATTGTTCTTTAAAAACTTGCAATTAAATACAAAAAAAAAGACTAAATATATCCTTTTATTAGAATGAATTACCCTATATATTTTGAATCGTCTCGTTGAACTGTTAACCAACCAATTTCGGCCAAACTGTGCGAATGGATCGGAAAACTTTTTAGGACTGAATACACGCTTTGATTGGACGAAAGACGTCAGGGTAACCTTTCTCTAATTATGTAATTTCTTGAGAGAATGTATGCGAAACGGGTGTGTGGATGATACTGTTTTAGGAAGTCTAGGTCGCACCGAAAAATTTCACAGAACGGTACTAAATATGAATTTTGATTCTTAGTAGTGGTGAATTTGAACCAAACAGACAGCCAATACAAAAATATGCTTAGAAGTGGATTGATAAATGGACGATTTGCGGTTGAGCATTTATGCAAGCGTTCTGGCGGACGTTTGGCGGTCCGTGAGTACTCAAGCGAGTCAGGAAAAGACTCTATGTTTTTGACCGATCTCTTGAGCAGAATCGACAAGATCAGTTCAACCACCAAGAAGATAGCAGAACAGCAAGGTTCAGGGGTAGGAGGTTTAAACAAGTCTAGGGGTGTCCCAGGATCAGCCCAGGGGGCTCCTCGTAGGGCCAAGGGACCAGCAGATAAGACGGTAAAGACCAGAAACGAAAAGGTACAAGTGGCCGATCATCCATTATTCAATGCTAAAATTGAAAATAGAGGACCAAATAGACAGAGTGGTGGATATAAAGGTCCAAGAGCTCCTAGAGTGGCTAGAACTGGGGGTGGAGCTGGTGCACCAGCCACAAGTGGTGCAGGAAATGCCAGACCATCTAAGAGGACGACAAGACCAAGAGAACCTAGAAGACAAAAGGCCATTGACGTTCAACCTATCAAATCTAAGAATATTACATACGGACCATACAAACCGCAATTGGATAACAACACGTTTTTGTACGGAAAGGCCACCAGTTTCAATAATTGTACCAGTGCAAGAGTGGCTTCTGTTGCCAAAGAAGCATTGAACGACTCAAAATTCCCGTATATGCTTCCTAGAGATATAGTCAACAACTTAACCCCAGGAGTGACAAGAAATCGTTTCCTTTTGCAATCTAACTTCACTCTTGACGTCAACTCCAAAAAATTAACTACCAGAATTAAGGAAGTTGTCAAAGGTGAAGTAGCCGACTTGCCAGTAGATAAATCGCAATTCAAAGACCCAGAGGCATTGAAATCTGCTCTCTTCACAAAACAACAATTGATGAAGAATGGAGACTTGTCGTTCGCCGATAAGCAGAAAATATTCGCCGTAGCTAGTGGCTTAAAGACGCCAAAGCAGTTGGTCGAAAACGCCCATTGGGCCAAGGCCGAATGATGTACATAGTAGAGATTCGTGTTTATAGTATAATGCTACAATCTAGTCGTAAAAATAAAATATGCGTATATTAAATATTAATGGCCTTTCCGTATTGCAACCAACAAGATTACCAAGACCTGCCAAAACTATAGAAGTAAACCTTATTCCTTGTGCGTATTTCGTCATTCATCCTAAGCATCACTGCAACATAAAGACTTTTTGTTTTTTTTTCGTCTGAAAGGTCCCAGACCATTTAGATCTTATTAAATAATGCTCTTGCGTTAATAGTTCCCTTTGTGCTTAGAGGCGAATTCATGGATTCTCGGTAAGAAAACATAAATGGTAGAGTGGTAGAGATCATCAAATATCCCAACAACAATGCTGAATTTGCTTTATATGGTCTATAGCGAACTGAATACATTGCTGAGATATACTCTTCAATACAATTTGATCGAGCGGATTTTCTCTTTATTTATACTGCATTACAAACTACTACTAATCATTTTAGTCAGGCTATTATGAAGCCACAATAAATGTGGTTCGATAATCACTCACTTTTAGGAAGGATTACCACAATAGTTCTAATTTTCTTATGTAATCATAGGAGAATTGGAGCATAAATTCTATGTTGGGCCATGGCATTGTTCTATGTAGAATGGTTCCGTCTGCCTAATTTGTATCAAGTTTCCTAAAGGGAACCCAGTCACCGAACACGGATCAATTTTTTTTTGCATTTGTTTACAATAATGTCAAATTAAAAAAATTAAAGGCTATAGACGTGTCGTATAGAAATATATATTGCGGACGTGTTTATCGTTTAGTCCGTGTAGGCGTGTATATCGTATAGCATTCCTAATCCTGTTGGACCTTTGCATAACTCGGAGGTCTTAATTTTCTATTTATTGCTTGGGAGGCCCAAACTGGAAATAGACTGATCACCAAAATGACCAAGGTCTGCCACGTATACAGAAACGAAGTGATGTAGTCTATGTCAAAGTACTCGTCTAAGAAAGGAATGGAAACAATGTAAATGATAAAGGTGATGATAATAGTGGAAAGCATTATTTTGTTCCACTTATTAATTTGGAGACAAACCATGATCAATTCATTGTAAATGAGGCACGAAAATGATAGAGCAACCATTTTTGTGAAGTCCTCCAGAGCCAATGATAGAAAACCTTGCGATAATAATTGGATGATACTACCCTGGAATAGAGAGATCAACACCCACATGAAGAAGCTTCGATACGACAACGATTTACCCAAAGTTAATTCCTTGTACAATTCAGGATACAATTTAGTCAATTTTTCATCGATATCACAGTCAAGGGTAAGAGAGAATACGGGGGCCATCGTGTAGAAAGTAGAATACCCAACCATTAACCACCCCTGGTAAAGGGCTAATGGTTCAAATTTCGAAGAAATTGAGTATACAGCTTGAGCGACCGAGATAAGCAATCCTCTATGAATAACAAATTGGCCTAGTTTTGCTGACCTCTTATACGAATTCCTACCATGCCACAACAATAACTTCAATAAGTAACAAAATTGATCAATACTGAAATCTGCTGCCAACGAAGCTTGTTTTCCCTCTTTACCCACAATACCAACACCTACGTCCGCACATTGGATCATGCTGACATCGTTACCTCCGTCACCTATACAACAAACTCTCTTTCCGGTAACTTCTTTGATTATAGTAGCCACATCTGCCTTCTGTTGCGGTGTACAACGACAAGCAATCACTGCCGGTAATTTAATCACAATTTCAAAAAATTCCCTTTTGTAATACTTCATGTAAATGCTCAAAGACTCTCCGTCAATCAACAAACACGAATTTAAATTTATCCTTAAAATATCTAACTGATTCATGGCCAAATCGGAATGACCTACATTCGTGATTTGATGAATATACTGTCCTCTTGATATAATTTTTGCATTGATTGAAACGCACTTAGCAGTTTCGACTTTATCACCCGTAAGCATCCATATTTTAATACCAGCATTTCTTAACAATTCAATTGATGATTTAACATCTTTCTGTAATTTATCTTCAACACCAGTAAGTCCAAGTAACTCTACGTCTTTTTCGAGATAATGATTAATTGCTTTTTGCATCGAACTTTCTCGATCATGCATTGACAAAGATGCTTCTTGGTACTTGTTAACAAATTCTTGATACAACTTGGTATTTAATTTTTTACGTCCAATTACTAATGTTCTGAGCCCCTCACGAGATAAATTACCAGTTTCTTCTTCTAACCAGTCATTAGAGCTGACAATACTTGACATTACTGAATCTGCACCCTTTTCCATAAACCAGATATTGTCTCTATTTACATCTTTCACAACTATTCCCATTCTTTTTGTGTCCGAATTGAAAGGGAAATTATACAAAATCTCAAATGTCAAGACTTGATTTGTAGCTAAATGCAACAATGAAATTGAATGACGATCACGTCTATGCAATTTCAATCCAGCCAACTCAGTGAACTTAACAATTGCAATTTCATCTGGTGATGCGGCTTGGTACGTAACGGTTCCGTTAACTTCATCATCTTCATTTTCGTAAGTAGGGGTAACGTTATGACAAACTGCTAATGTTAATATTAAATCACAAACTTTACTATTTAAATCCCTTTTTTTCACTGCACTATTTGAGGTTTTCAGGTACATGTTATCCATGACTGATAACATTCCAGAAACATAGTCTGTTACAATATCCAACGTATCCCCGGCGTAGCTGACAGTACCTAAATGTAATTTTTTTAATTCCATATCATTTTGTGTTAATGTTCCTGTCTTATCCGATAATAAATATTCAATTCTACCCAAGTCTTCTGGTATAGTAGAAGTTCTGACAATAGTATTATTGATATCCATATCATTTTGTATTTGAGATGCATAAACAGACTTTGCCAAGTCCAAGTTAACTCTCAATGACACTGGTATAATTGTAGAAAATAAAATTAAGAATCTCATAATATCAATATACCAGTTCTTCTTCAATGGCCATCCATTTGCGAAAACCAAAATTACCGATAATAAGAAAACAACCACGCACAATATCTTAGAAAGCTTATTGATTTCTAATTCTAATAAGCCGGTTTTCACGCCGGTCTTAGTGGTATTTAACAGCTGTCTTGTTTCAATACCTGTATAAATAATTATTCCAATTGCCGTTCCCAGAGCTAAAACTGTATTAGCCCACAACGTCTGATCGATAGTTAATGCAAAGGTTTCATTATTTGGGATTGGAGATGCCGAACCTACTTGTTGTGGTGGGTGGTATATTAATTTACCCGTAAAATGATGAATGGATTTGGTGGGATTACTTACTATCAACGAGATATTATTAATCAATTGTGAGATATTAGTCATGGATTGAGTTACATTACTTGCAATTCTCAATTTCCAGTCAGTTTCCCCATCCAATTGATCAGTCTTAATAAATGCTTCACCTGTGCCATCCTTTTCTGAGGTTTGTAATAATATCATATCGGCCGGAATTCTTGTATCTTTATGCAACCTTACTAAATCTCCCACTTTTAAATTCTTAGAAGCCACCATCTTAGCTTCTTGAGTAAGAGATAGCGGTGATGATCTGTTTAACACTTCATACAACTCATTATTTTGTTCCTTATCACGACGGCGTCTAGCTATATCATCACCCGCTTCCTTCATCATAGTAACTGTTAACACAAATGCCAATGGTACTATATATGAAGAGAGATATCCTATCCGTAATTGTGGGATGATTTGAGATAATGCAACAAGCAAAAAATACAAATTAAAGAAAAACTTGAACTGCTCGTACAAGATTATTGGTATAAATGTTATCGGATTATACTTTGCGTTCGAAATAGCATTGCTTGGATATGCACTGCTCTTGGACTGACTTCTCGATGATATGTATCTTTCATTAGCAAATTCATTATTAGAATCACCTCTATTCTTTCTCGCTCTTTCCTGATTTAATTCCCATTTGGCCAACTTAAAAAACCCTATCGTCCTTTTAACAAGCATTTTGAAAGTAAACGATAATGATCTTGTCGTATTATTCAAAGAAGTTGTCGATGAGGAAAATGATCTCGGCTGTCCGTAACTACCGGTTGCAATCAATGGTGAGCTGTCATCTTGTTCATTTTCCATCCTATAATCATCACGATCTATTTCCAGACTCATATTATTCAACGGTATTGCCCCTACTGATTGCTGGGAATTCTGGCGGGAATTATCCTTACTATTAGTATATCGAAATAAATTATTCGACGCATTATTCAAGGCTTTGTCTAACGAATTATCTAAATCTTCGAAAGAATCCCAATCATCGTTCGAATATCGCCTCGAAGACGCCATTATATCAATATATATAATCCGCTATGCTAATATATATTATGTCAAATACTAACCAGATTTGATACTTGTTTTCAGTATCTACTGAGCCTTTAAGTGAAGTCTGCACATAATTTTGCGAGGGTCAATCATTAATGAAATTCAATTATTGACAATATGAACGCTATACAAGATTAGAATTTCAGAAGACGAAATGCTGTCGGAAGAAGAAAATGATGAGTTGTTAGCAGTAACAGCTACAAATTCAGGATCTGTATCGAAGATTCCGAATTTGACAGATCAACTTAAAGAATTATCGCAATTACAAGAGGCGAAGACAAATACATTTTTAAAGAAGGTATGGGAGTTCATGAAGATACAACTTTTGGGTTATACCAATACATTTGAGCAGTTTGTTAATGAAATAGAACCGAATGATTGTTCATTGGTTTCTAAATATGGGGAAGTTACAGATATAGACTTACGCGATGAAACCAGCATCTCAATTGACGAATTGACATTGAGCACCATTCATATACCACATCCATTGACCAACTTTATGAGGAATGAAGCCAACCAGATTCCACTTAACTTAGACATACTGAAAGAATTACAGGAGTCTCCTATATTGGTATTTATTCATGGTCTTGGTGGGCAAATGTCGCAGTTTGAGCCGCTCATGGGACTTCTTTCTCAATGCCTGGAAATAGTCTCGCTTGATTTACCAGGATTTGGGAATTCAAAAGTGCAGTTCAGTGATGTCAAAATGATAGCAAGCATTTCAGAGGAAACAAAACTGAAGATTGCATCAAGCGTCAGTAAAATGCAATGGAACGATTTTACGACTGAAAACATAGTGAACATCATTTGCGCATTTATTCATCAACAGATACCCGCAGACAAAAAAGTAGTATTGGTTGGACATTCCATGGGTACTCATTTATCGGTTAAGGTTGCCAAGAAGTTGCCAGCACATAAAGTTGAAGGACTTATCTTATTATCTCCTCCGGGTTTTATAGACGACGTTACAAAGACCACGCCAGAGCAACCTGCAAAGACAATTTCAATGTTAAAGGTATTTAACTACATTCCCTGGTTCTTTAACTGTTTTCGTGTTTGGGATAGACTTGAAGGTTTAAATAGCAAGAGTGTTTCCAGACAACTCGCAAAGTCGATTGATACGCCTGCTACCCCACCTTGCAAGTTCAATCCCAACGCAAATATTTATAATAAACTTAGACAACTTAGATGGAATATGGATATAAATTCGCATATAATCTTGAAATATGTGCATGGATTTCAGAAGGCGAAGTATTCAGATTTGCTAGCAGCAATATCGAACTTCAACAATAACCCTTCTGATAAAACTACCTATGAAAAAACTTTACTAATTACGGGTAGCGGAGATCAGGTAACCCCACTGAGCGTAATATCAGTTGTTGACGAATTTTTAACCTCTACTTTTGATAGAAAAGTGTCATCTTCAATCGAAATTAATAATGCAGGACATTCTTTACTTTTGGCGAAACCAGAATTTATTAGTGGAATGATTTTAAACCATGTTGAGCTGAAGTTCCCAGAGCGCTTACATTTAGCTCCTGCTTGGGTTTTGAGAGTTAAGGCCCAAATTTCTGGCGATAAATGGGGCTTGAAAAATGAACTTAAGTGGCTGAAACTTAAACCACTTTCGAGTAATATTACTCGTAAAAATGGTAAGGATGTTGCTCCTTTGTTGGGAATGAAGACCCTCAGAGAAGATGATGCAAATCACTCCCCGATGCTTTTAGAGAAAAAATTCTATGATTCAGATCCCAAATCTGTGGAGGATATACCTGAAGGTAAATTAATAGGTATTGTGGATATTTCGGCAGATATACCACCTTACAGCCCAAAATCGTTCAAGCATATTCAATATTACAAATGTGCAACCGTTTCCAAGGTTGTTCCGGACCAAGTGGCCATTAGAAGATTCATTCAATTAATTGACGACATTTTATCCTCCAATACTGAAAAAGCCCCATTAATCGCTATTCATTGTCATTATGGATTCAATAGAACTGGTTTCTTAATATGTTGTTATTTAGTTGAAAGGTTGGGCTGGTCTGTGCAAGAAGCTGTTGAAGGATTTAAGACAGCTAAACCTCCTGGCATAAAACATCCACATTTCATAGATGCTTTGTATGTGAGGTACGAAGCTAACTATTAATCTGTTGACCAAGAGTTAACGTTATTTATCGTGCGTAATATGTGTATAATTAGAGTATTAGGTATAAACAAATCTTCTTTAGAATTGCTTTTAAAACTTGACATTTAGTGACTTTCTCTAGTAATAATAACTAAATATATTATAATTTTTTGTATAATTTTACCTAAATCACAACTGATTGCAAACTTAAAACAATAATTCGGAAAAAAAATTAAATAAAATTAAATAAAATTAAATAAAATAAATAAGATTAAATAGGCTTAATTAAACGATATATATTTATGGCCAGTGTATTATATTTATAAATGATAGTAGATGTCCATTAATTTGGTCTTTTGTAAGAGTTGCAAAAAAATGCTGATATAAGCTAAACACCGAGGTTCCAAATTTACTTAACCGAAAAAAAAATTCTGGGGAACATTTGATACATTATTTAACTCATTTTACATAGCTAGATACGTGTGATTAATAATTATATATTTGGGAAATCAGTATAATAATTGATAATAGTTATTCTAGCGTATGAGATTTGGTGAGATATTAAATGAAGCATCAGTTCCTGAATGGAGATCATTATATCTTGATTACAAACATGGCAAGAACCTAATAGAACGACTTGATGATATTCAGGAGAGCATAGATGAATCATCAGGTAATAAAAAGAGTGATAAAAATACAAGGAAGAATAATGCTAGAAATGTTGATGAGTTTACTCCATTACTTGCTTCTTCTGAGGTAAGAATGAAATCTAATCAGGACCGTACAGAGTTCCATTTGGATGACTCCTCTGAGTATAGAACGGAGGGGATGAACAATGTACCAGAAAGGGCGAAGGATTCTAGGTTGGATGATAATGTGGAGCCATCTCTATTCAATCACTTGTTTCATTCTAACAAAAAGGATTATTTGGAAGTTGAGAAGCAGAAATTCAAAGAGTGGCTTGATTCTGAGTTGGAGAAAGTAAACTCATTCTATAGAGAGAAAGAAGAACGTAAGTTTGAAAAGTTTCTCTTTTTGCAAGACCAGTTGTACCAATTGCGAGAACATAAAGCTGTGGTATTGCAAGAGAGATTACAGCACCAAAAACATAAGCATATTGCACACAGAATAGATAATAAACACAGCAGAATACACGGAATAGCATTTCATACCAGAACTGCATTTTTTGCCTTGAAAAGATTTGAATTTCCGTCTTTGCCTTCAACTGTATTTTTAAATAAGTGGAACAACAAACAAGAAAGAGATACCAAGGAACATGATTTTGAAGACATAAATTACCATGAGAATAGGATCAGAAATGGGATAGTCTCTTCAACAGACGATGACGACGACTTTACCCCAGTCGACTCAGATATTAATTGCGACAATACGCCACTTCTACAGCCAAGGAGTATGAGGTATTCAGCTCAAGAGCCACAGAGTTCAGCGATGAAAAAAGCAACAGGAAGAAGGGATTACAGCACCAAGAAGAATAATTTCAGGGTGCCATATGTGCACGCTCGACAACAATTGAAGGATGCAATAATTGTCCATTATGGAGCATTATCATTATTGAAGTCTTTTAGAGAGTTGAATAGAACAGCTTTTCGGAAAATTACGAAAATGTATGATCAGACCATGAACACGTCTATTTCGGTCCCATACATGAAGAAAATTGACAACGAATCATATTTCCAAACAAGTGATACACTCGACAGGTTGATAAGCCAAACCGAAGAACTATACATAGTATTTTTTGACAGCCCTACTACCGATAGAAAAACCTCACTAGAAAACTTAAAGAGTATTTCTTATGCATTGAATAGTAAAGTACAAAAATCATATTATGCCCCATTCTTCACATCTGGGCTTTTATTAGGTATAGGTTTTCCGATATTTATTCTGGGATTATATGTTGCATTACGAGAAACTTTAAGTGGTGACTTACCCGAGGGGAAATTCTTGTTGCAAATATGGGGAGGATTCTTTTTGTTAATCTTAGCATTTTTACTTTTTGGAATAAATATGTATGTCTTTGACTTATTCAAGATTAACTATAGATTTATTTTTGAATTTAACTTGGTGTCCACGTTGAATTACAAACAGTTTTTGTTACTTCCATCATTTGGATTTGCATTCTTTTCAATACTATGTTGGTTCAGCCTGAACGACTTCTGGCCTGACATATTTCCAGGTAGGGACTGGCCCTGGATATTTTTTGTGGTTATGATAGTGTTATTTATTTGGCCTGGTAATCAATTCTATGCGTCAAGTAGGAAATGGCTTCAAGTTGCACTTTGGAGATTATTATTATCTGGTTTCTATCCTGTTGAATTTAGAGATTTCTTTTTGGGTGACATGTTTT